ACTCTTGCTTAAGATTGTTCCAGATAAAGGTCATGCATGTTGTGATAGAGGCCTGAACAGCCTCTATCACATAGGGCTGGACGATATAGAAAAAAAGCTTATCGATAAAAAAAAATGCATATTGATCGATATCGATAATTATTGAAAAGATTTGAAACCATATTTTATGTGCAGCTCTGCCTGGAAATTTTATGATATTGCTAAATTATTTAATTTTAATAAAGAACACAAACACAGACTTCGAATTAAATCTTCATTTCACCAACTTTTTTAACAATGACAATTGTTTTAAAGAAAAATAACTTAAGAGACCTGAGTTATGTTATGAAATACTGACAAAGAATAAACTAAAGTGACCAGAAACGTGACCAAAATAAATATAACAAATAAATAAATAGATGAGATGGCTGAGATAATAAAAAAAGTTGGTTGTGTTATCAGACTTGGTTTTCACTGGTTCCCTACACATTTTACAGATGACTGTGGTTTGTTTTTTGTCCGACTTGCCATGACCGAAATACTGCCAAACTGGCGAACTACAAAAACCCTTCTTTGGAACAATTTCCTCTGCCTCTCCTTGCTGCAACAGCTTCATGTGCTCTGTGTTGTGGTTTGAGGGGGCGGCGCTTTGTGACGGCATGCCTGGGTCTGCGACTGTGATTGGTTGGGAGGAAGTAGTGACTAGCATAAACCTACATGCTAGGCTACAATGAGAAGGAAGGAAAACTGCGTTTCTTTATCGAACTTTTATCAACCCTCTTTTTTCTATTGCGCCACACGTCTATCGATCGATATATATCATTATTGAATTATTGCCCAGCCCTACTATCACATGTTTCTTCTAAACATGTGTTCTTGGAACAATTCAATTGTAAAACAACCACATGCTTTGTTTTAACATATGGGCTGAGGTTTAAAGTAAGATCCTTTTGTTTCCCTTTCCCTTAGTTAAACCTCAGCTGGTGTAATTAGGGACATCCCCTTTTCTTCAATAAATAACGAGGAGAATCCTATCATGGTGTTGTCTGTTGGACAGTAGGACTGAAAATTGTTTGCACTTTATGGTTCAGGTTGTGACTGTCCTTGTGCTGTGAGGAAGTATGTTCTTTAGTCCAGCTGATCTTTTGCAAGTGTGGATGTCCACTGAAATACGCCTTGAAATCGATTAAAACACCTTGTGCTCAATTTGATTCATGACTCATCTTTTTTTTGCATTAAATAACTCAAAGTAACTAAGTAACTTTCACTCAAATTACATTTTAAATGAAGTAATTTTGTACTTTTACTTGAGTAAATTTTGAGATGGGTAATTTTACTTTTACTCTAAGTAGAATTTAGGCAAAGTAAAGATACTTTTACTCAATTACAATTTTTTAGTGCTCTTGCCACCTCTGCTCATTAAACACACACACACACACAAAAAAACACAAAACAAAAAAAAAGAAGTAATGAATAGAAGCATTAATGCTTCTGATAAAAGTCTGTTCCCATTGGCTGATCCCTTACTGTTGTTGTTAGATTAAATGGTGCCTCATAGTGCAAATTCCTTTCTATCTTTATCTTTACCTATGGTTTATTTCTCTGACGATTGGCCATTTAAATCATATTTTAAAGGAAAGTTGTTTAAAAATGTTTCACTTCAGATCTAGATCAGGAATCAGTAAAGTTTTATTAAATCTATAAAATAAAAGGAAGATGCACTTTCTTTCTCATCACTTGGAATTAACTTGAATTTGCTTTTTTAATCGTTTTTTTAATGTTCTCAGAATTCTGACTTTTATCTAGGAATTCTGACTTTTTCCTCAGAATGCTGACTTTTTTCTCAGAATTCTGACTTTAATCTCAGACAAAATGGGAAAAAAGTCAGAATTCTGACTTTAATCTCAGAATTCTGACTTTTTTCCCATGTTAAACTGAAATAAATTTTAAAAATCAGTTAACTTTTTTTTTCAGTTGCCCTAATCCTCTTCCGTAGTTATCAGGTATATCTGATTGTGTACAATAGGATTTTGAGCAAAGATTTTACCATTAAATTATGCAAAAAGTGTCAGATGCAAAACATTTTTTTTATAAAGACACACAAAAAAACACAAAACCTAAAAAAAACAGTATTTAATAGAAGCATTAATGCTTCTGATAAAAATAAAACCCTCCTCTGTGGACCTCCAGTCTGTTCCCATCGGCTGATTCCTTACTGTTGTTGTTAGATTAAATAATGCCTCATAGTGCAAAGTCCTGTATGTATGATGTCCAGCTGCTCCATACCTGATGATGTCTATCTTTATCTTTACCTATGGTTTATTTCTCTGACGATTGGCTATTTAAATCATATTTTAAAGCAAAGTTGTTTAAAAATGTTTCACTTCAGATGTAGATCAGGAATCAGTAAAGATTTATTAAATCTATAAAATAAAAGGAAGATGCACTTTCTTTTTCATCACTTGGAATTAACTTGAATTTGCTTTTTTAATCGTTTTTTTTAATGTTCAGTTCAGGTGTTATAAGAAAAATGCTTGACTTTACTGATCCATTAAGGCTCAACAATATGTCTTGATGAAAATATTAGTGTCTGTAATATTTATAAGGCAAAGATCTGTTTGGAGTGCGATAACTGTTGGACACTTTCCAAGACTGATAAACTTGCATGATGTGTATATAGCCGCTTATTCGAAATTGGACAAACTTGTGTGATTCTTGGGAGTTAAAAACATAAGGATTAGATATTTCTTCTTATGCCCCCGTTGGGTTTCCACGCGTAAATAGCAAATATTTACAATATGGCTCTGTAAAGCTCTAAAAAATGTGTTTTTACAAGCTCTGTCTTTAGTCTGAACAATGTTTCTCAGATGTGAAAAAGCCGTTCGGCACCTCAGGGGCCGAGTGCTGTGAGTTATTACAGCTGGGATCAGCTTTAACAAGTCTAATTAGCACTTAGTGAAGAATAAACATTTAGGAAGTGGTTTGTATCACACTCGATCCTCGTAAACATTTTGACTCTCTTCGTTTAAGAAGCTGCAGAGGGATCCCTACGCGCCAGTAAACTTGCCCTGCTGCAGAGTGGAACATTGACGTTATGAATGGAGCCTCCTGTCAGGCAGGCTTTGACATGCTGTCACCTTTATGCAAATGGTTTGATTTCACCTCTGGATGTCCAAATTGCATCACTTAGCTGCTAAATTGGTGCTTCTGTTTTCCTCTACCAGCTAAAAGCTCAAATAGTCGACCTTTGTCATGCAGGGGAGAAAAGAAAGAAGGACTTTTAATGAAGGTGATTCGGTTCAGTGTGGATTAGCTTAGGGCTTTTCTAAAGCATCGACCAAAGTTTGAGTCTTTTAATGTTTAGTTCTTTTCAAGCCGATGATTTGATTAACGCAGACAGACGACGAACTAATTAAAGATATTTGTGTAGATCTATTAATAATTTGCATTGTAGCATAAATCAGTTTCATCAATAAACTTTTGCCTTTTAACCCTTTAAAGCCTGATCCAAGAATAAAACAAAACAGAAAATTACTTTTTTTGGTTTGAAGTCCTTATTTGCCCTTTTAACAAAATATGTAAAAAACAGAAATACATTTTTTATATTAATAATTTATTACTATGCGATAAGTCAAGATTATTTTTTGTGTAGTCTTCTACTGGCTGTTATCTACGGAAGAGGATTAGGGTCACTGGAAAAAAAAAAAGTTAACTGATTTTTACATTTTATTTCAGTTTAACATGGGAAAAAAGTCAGAATTCTGACTTTAATCTCAGACAATAAAAAAGTCAGAATTCTCAGAAAAAAGTCAGAATTCTGAGATTAAAGTCAGAATTCTCAGAAAAAAGTCAGAATTGTCAGAAAAAAGTCAGAATTCTGAGATTAAAGTCAGAATTCTGACTTTAATCTCAAAATTCTGACTTTAATCTCAGAATTCTGACTTTAATCTCAGAGAATAAAAAAGGTCAGAATTCAGAGAAAAAAAGTCAGAATTCTGAGATTAAAGTCAGAATTCTGAGAAAAAAGTCAGAATTCTGAAGTTAAAGTCAGAATTCTTAGATTAAAGTCAGAATTCTGACTTTAATTTTAGAGAATAAAAAAGTCAGAATTCAGAGAAAAAAGTCAGAATTCTGAAGTTAAAGTCAGAATTCTGAAGTTAAAGTCAGAATTCTGACTTTAATCTCAGACAATAAAAAAGTCAGAATTCTGAGAAAAAAAGTCAGAATTCTTAGAAAAAAGTCAGAATTCTGAGATTAAAGTCAGAATTCTGACTTTAATTTTAGAGAATAAAAAAGTCCGAATTCTGAAATAAAACTCAGAATTCTGACTTTTTTCCCATGTTAAGCTGAAATAAAATGTAAAAATCAGTTAACTTTTTTTTTTTCAGTGGCCCTAATCCTCTTCCGTAGTTATCAGGTATATCTGATTGTGTACAATAGGATTTTGAGCAAAGATTTTTACCATTAAATTATGCAAAAAGTGTGAGATGCAAAACATTTCAGAAACCATATGTATCAAATACGATACATTTGGCATTACAGGGTTAATATAATCAATAAATATTTTTTTTTTATAAAGACATTTTTGCCTCTTATCAAACTCTTTCCAATTCTGCGGCGTTTTCCAAAAACACCAAAACTATTCTGCTATAACTTTACCTTTTTACAGAAATCTTTTTTTTTCCTGGGTTTGCACAGGAAGGTAAAAATGACACCTCATGGGTGTTTAAAATGGAAGTAGGTTACATGCATTGGTACCAACCGACAGAGCGGTGAATTAACACCAGAGTCGAATGAAAACGCAATGTTTTAACAATTAGGGATGCATTCTAGTTCAGCCTGCTGGCGTTACTTTTTGCAACACAATAGGGGCATAATTTTCCACTTTTACAATATTTGAATAGTGTTCAAAATGCAAATAAGCCGAGTGAGTGAACCAGTATAAATCTGATACACTCCTGTCCTCTCCCAGCCTCCTGCAAACAGCAGTGAGTCTCTAAATGCTCTGTTTTCTCCTGCAGGTACTACCAGGCAGCCTAAGGAGGGAGAGGTCCCAGGCGTGGATTATAACTTTGTGACCGTTGACCGGTTTATGGAATTGGAGAAAAGCGGAGCTCTGCTGGAGAGCGGAACATATGAAGGTGAGGAATCGGTTTGGTCATGCTTAACGGGACAGAGGACTGTCCTTCTTTGTGACATTTCCAGAAGGTATGCTCGAGTATCAAAGGTTTTCTTTGTTTTGATGAGGGACATCAGTTCGGAGGTGTGCTTATCAATCCATGTCCATAAACGACCCCTAGTCTCTCAACTCTTTTAGCTCCTAGAGGGGAGAGAATGTCATTAGTCATGAAGGACACTCAAAGGAATCTGTAAATACTAAGCAGTGACACTCACAGCTTCCTGTTTCCTTTCTCATTGCCAACACCTTGAGCAGCAACAGCTTTTCCGTTTCCTAATCAAAACCTTCCCTTTCTGTCTCAGGTGGTCAGAAAGGCTCAGATTTTAGCTCCAGACGGCTTCCTTGGTCCACCTGACGACCTCCAACTCCTAGCAAAGCTCTGCCAATATACAGATAACGCTCCTCTCCTCCCACATGACTCTAGATTCAGTCTGCTGAAAAATTAAATTTCTGAAGCCCAGTTAAATGCTACCGCCAGAGGGGCTGTCAGATCCTCTCGGCGATGGAAGCCGTCTTCCACGGGGGGGAAGAGAGAGAGGCAGGGATTTATTTTAATTGATTTGCCATCACTCTGCATTTTATGTGTTTTAATGATTTAATAGCCAATTAGGTGTTGAATAAAGAGATAACGAATCAATTTTGAAGGGCTGGGTACTCAGAATAATTTGTTACAGCAGCAAAGATTTGTTAAAAGGAAGAATTTACAATAGACGAGCCTGGAGCTCATTGATTCACAGCTTCTTGTTGCGTTCTGCTCACTTCTAACCCACTTGTGTTTCTTTCAGAGACAAAATGTCCAGTGGGACAAAAGGCTTTTTTCTTTTTTTCCAGGGTTTTAACTTCAGTTCTGCATCATTTATTCCCCTCAACATCTCATGCTTTAATTCCTACACATTGCCTTTTCCTGCTTCCATTTAAAGCTGTGATAAAAGGGATTCATAGTTACGTCTCTGAAACCATCACTTGAAGTCAAGGATTTAATGCAACTATTTAGACCAATAACGGAAAAAAAAACTGTCAGATGTTATGCTTTAAAAAACTTTTTATCACTCTTCTATTTAGTCCAGTTCCGATCCCCATTTGGGTCACTTGACTCCTCCGAAACACGTCTGTGAGGCTACGTTCACACTGCAGCCTGAAGTGACCCAATTCCGATTTTTTTGCCCATATGTGACCTGTATCTGATCTTTTTATGACAGTCTGAACGACACAGATCGGATTTTTTCAAATGCGATCCAGGCCACTTGGATATGTGGTCCTGAATCCGATACGTATCTGATCTTTTCAAATGCAACCTGTGTCTGTACGGCCAGGTCGCATTCATCCGACCTACACGTCATTGATACTTGACAAATGTTACTAAATGTTACTAATCTGCGTCCTACTAAGCGGAGGCGGGAAAAACTAACAACCATGGCGGAAGATAACACAGAGAGCAGTCAATGGAGAGAAAGTGAGGTTGCTGACTTAATTCATATTTGGAAAGATAGCTCGATTCAGACCAAACTCGAAGGGTCTTACCGGAACCGGGGGATATCCCACCATTCCTGGCTTCGACTCCGCACCCACACGCTTCTCTGTACGGACGTTGCTATTACTGCCCCACAAAACGCCATTGCACGAAATCTGGCTCTCTTTCTTTTTGATCTTCTTAAAAAGATTTCGTTCGTAATGTGCCTGCTCCTGTTGGAGAAGAACTTAAAGAACGCAATATACGCTGCGGTATTACGAGTCATGTTTACTTCCGCAAACACTGAGGACGCTTGCTACATGTGACGTCATCGGGTCCTCGAGTGCGCATGCGGAACACTTCGGTTGAACGCTTTCAGTTCACACAGTAGATCACATACAAGTCGCATATATTTGGAAGTGTGAACGGACACGCAAAAAAAATCCGATTTCACAAAAAAATCGGAATTGAGCATTAAAGGAATAGTACACCCAAAACATGATTAGCCTTCATCTTCTACTCACCCCCATGCTGAACAACACTCTGGAGTACTTTTTTGATATCTCAAATGCATCTGGAGATCTGGGAGGCTTCTTGCTGTCTGCTGACATTCAAATAATGGAGGTCTATGGTGACCGAGACAGAAAGGTCCATAAAAGTCCACAAAAAACGTGTCAATATTCCTTCATAATGCTCGTCCAATGTATTCCAAGTGTCCTGAGTGGGTAGCGTCCATAATTTACTCGAAACGAAGTCATTTAGAATGTTTTTAGAGCATAAACAGTAGTGTATAGGATTTCCTGAAAGCGCGCACACGCGCGCTCACGACGCTACGGAAGCCGGCAGACCAAACCAGCGCATTCAGCTCGGCAAAGAACTCATGCTCTTCCTCAACACTGAAGTCCTCAGATATTTTTCTTTCGTTGTTTCTTTCTTTGCACAGGTAAACAGCACATTTCTTCTTCTACGCTTGCATTATTGGAAGAGCAGACGCTGAATGCGCACTTTCATCTGGTTTGATCTGCCGGCTTCCGTAGCGTCGTGAGCGCGCGTGTGCGCGCTTTCAGGAAATCCTATACACTACTGTTTATGCTCTAAAAACATTCTAAATGACTTCGTTTCGAGTAAATTCTGGACGCTACCCACTCAGGACACTTGGAATACATTGGACGAGCAGTATGGAGGAATATTGACACGTTTTTTGTGGACTTTTATGGACCTTTCTGTCTCGGTCACCATAGACCTCCATTATTTGAATGTCAGCAGACAGCAAGAAGCCTCCCAGATCTCCAGATGCATTTGAGATATCAAAAAAGTACTCCAGAGTGTTGTTCAGCATGGGGGTGAGTAGAAAATGAAGGCTAATCATGTTTTGGGTGTACTATTCCTTTAAGGCCTGCAGTGTGAACATAGCCTTAGATTCCTGGATCATTAATAATAACATGCCCCCCTTTTTTATTTTGAGCTATAAAACTTTACTTCATTATAGAGGAAAATGACAATTAAATATTTAAGTCATACGTATTCAAAGGGGGTAAATACTAGTGTTGCACTGATACCAGTATCGGGCGGGGCCCTGATCCAGCACTAAAATGATGGTATCGGTATCGGCGAGTACCAACAAATAGGGCACCCAGGGCTCGATGTTAACCATCGCCCGATCGCAAGTAGTTTTTATTGTTGGGAGAGTACAAATTTCATTGCACTTGCCCGGCGGGCAACTGTAGTTGAGTTAGCGTTAGCTTGCATGACCGGCTCCGTCATGCTGGTTTTCCTTCACTATGAGCGCCGCAAGCGTCACGTCACGTGACTAAGAAAACGTCACGGGATTGGCTGGGTGTTGGACGCCACAATCCATTGCTAATGTCTATGACCTGAAATAACCCTTCCCTTTTTACATTGAATTTAGACGCCGATTTTAAGACAGTGAAATAGAGCCAGTTGAATCCCAGGAGGCTGAAAATATTGAGTTTGAATTTTGAAAGGTTGAATTTTTTTATATGCAGATTTTTATAACACTGAAAAATTTAACTGAAAAATAAGTAGGGATGCACGATATAATCGGCCCCCTATCGGTATCGGCCTTAAAACTGAATATCGGACATCGGCCACCCCACCGATATTTAATCAGCTTCTGAATTTCTAAAGTCTAAAAAAATAAAAAATACTACTTCTTCTTCTTTCTCAAAAACTTCTTTTTTACAGACTTAAAAACTTCTAAAGACGAGGGAAAAAATATTGATACATTAAAATATCCCAATATCTTCATATGCTGATATATTGCCATTTAAAAACACCATATCAATCTCTTTTACTAATGAAATATTGCTATATGTCATCGTTATGCTACGAAATCCCCCAAAAATTCACGAAATTTAGCCATATTTTCATATGTTGATATATTGACGCGGTATCGATCTATTTTACTAACAAAATCTCACAAGAATTTGCTAAATATCACGAGTTTGTAACGGAACGATGAAATTTCACGAGATTTTGAAAGTAAGATAGATCGATACCACGTTTTTAAAAATCAATTTGATATCAGCATATGAAAATATATTTGAGTATATTATTTTTCAAAGTGTCAGAAATGGATAACAAAACTGCTATTTTCAATGACTACTTATTTTTGTCCAGCTTTAACATCGGTATCGATATCGGCTATCGGCTACATGAGTTTTAAAATATCGGAATATCGGCCAAAATCCCAATATCGTGCATCCCTAAAAATAAGTATTGAAAATGTAATCACTTTGAAATAATGACAATGAATTTTTTTTAGGTCCAAAATGTGTGCTGAATATATTTAAACACTGAAGCAATAAGTACAAACATACAACATTTAAATTTCAGTGCCATTTTTAATTCAAATCCCAGCGACACTGATTTACTTCCATAGAATTATCTCTGTAAAGTGCCTTGAGATGACGCTTTGTGAATTGGCGCTGTAGAAATAAAGTTGAATTGAATTGAAATTAACGCTGCAAATGCATATCTCTACTGGAAAAAATGGAGATCTATGTCATTTTTTCTTAAAATAAGTGAAGTTTTTATTGAATTGAGGAGGTAAGTGAGACACTTTGCCAATGGAACAATACGATTTACATTTAAAAGGTAATAATTTCAAGTGTATATTATCTAATTACCTTATTTTAAGAGTAAAAATCATCATTCCATTGACAAATCATCTTAGTAACCTAGTTAAATCGAGGGTAAATACACTTAATTTAAGACATTTTGACTTATTTCTAGATTGTTTTTGCAGTGTGGGGTTTTGCACAAATGAAGGATTTTTGATTCACCTTTATTTAACCTGGAAATAACTTTAGATTAGAGGTCCTGTGATGAGCTGCTGCTCTTTTTCGAAAGTTGAATGAAAAGTAACAGAATCAAAATTTTAAAAACCAGCTTTTCTCCAATCTACACCTTCTAGAGTATGCTCAAATATGTGCATACTAGTGGATGCTGTGCAGCTCTTTCTCCCCAGTTATCAACAAGCTTCAGGCTTA